CGCCTCCCACCCGCTGCTGCGCAGAGAAGACTGGGGTGCAGCGCCGCTCCTGGCCTCCCAGGGCGGGCAAGGAGAACAGCCGCGGGGGAGGGCACACTCCAGGCCCGGACGCCCTACCCAGCAGCATAGTGACACTCCACGGTGCAGACTCCTGCAGCGGGTGCGCGCATTTGGCGCGTCCGGGCGCCCCTGCAGGTGAAGTTCTCCCCCGACTGGCCATTCTTGGGGGCGCGGGGCCCCGCCCCCGTGACGTCAATCCAGGGCCTGACAGTTGAAGCTGTTCTGATCGGTTGCTCGGGAGACCAGGGTACACAGAGAGGACTGGCCTCCGTCCCCAGGCCGAAGAAGCGCTGTCCCAGTCCCCCGTCCGCTGTCCGCTCCTGGGACTCGCAGGCCCCGGGCAGAGGAGCCAGGTCGCCCCGCGCTGTGGCCAGCGGAGAGCTTCAGGCACCATGAGTCAGAGGCAGGTGCTGCAAGGTAGGGGCTGGGGCGGCTGCCCCACAGCAGTTGGCGGGAGCCAGGGCATGACTGAGCAGCTCGCTCCACCATGTCTCTCCCCGCAGTGTTCGAGCAGTACCAGAAAGCCCGGACCCAGTTCGTGCAGATGGTGGCAGAGCTGGCGACCAGACCCCAGAACATCGAGACCCTGCAGAACGCGGGTGAGCCCTCACCTGAACCCGCTTGGCCCGCACCCCTGGGGCTGTGTCACCTGGTGCCCTGCGCCTTCAGTCATTAGTCTGCCTTGGTCCTCAGCCCTGCCTCGCCCATCACCCGTATCCCAGGCCAGTCACTGCCTGTGTCACCGGGCTCTCCTAGCCGCGCTCCCCGCCCCCACCCTCTCCTTCCTCGTGCCTCCTATCCCACCCCTACCCCCTGCGCTGAGTTTTGGGCAAAAGGATGGGGGCTGGAGAAATTCTTCCAGTTCACTGCGAAGGTGGTAGAAGCATTCAGTCTCTTTCGCGGGCCTTTGGGGGTGAGGCTGAGCGGGTGAAGCTTACAGTTTGGTGTGAGAGGGGCCCTATTCCCATCTGTACTGCCACCAGGCAAGTGTCAGCTGGAAAGTCAAAGCCAAACGAAATACCTGCCTGGACGTCATTTTATGTGAATGGGAATCTGCCCTAGTCAGGCCTGTTTTACTATCAGGGTGTGAATGCCTGTCACCCTGCCTTGATCACCTTCAACTTCACATCAAAGGAATTACATTAGTTCTCATTTTGCATTAGTGAGAGAACTTGATATGCTTGAGTATTTTCCAGGAGATTCAAATTCGTAAAGATCTAGTTTTGAGAAACCCTTATAATATTCTCATTCTGCCCCTCAGCCCAACTCATGCAGACTATAGAGGGGAAGAGTGTGTGTGTGTGATTTGCTTCTTATCTAGTAACAAGGAGATAATGGTGGCTTTCCTCTCCCTTCCCTTCCCTTCTCTCATTAAGCATGATGCCACCACCATCTGAACTCAAAGTAAGATAGCATCTTATCACTACTGTGTCATGAGAAGCCTTCAATTTACAGGATATGATCTTTAAAACTCACTTAAATTAACACGGAATTAAAAGAAAATTAAGAACATTAAAATTAAGGATAAGAATGTTTAGACATAATATTTACTCTGGGTTATTTTTTAGGAGAATTACTACAGCACCTAGATGGTACCCTGTAGTGTCCTTGGGAGGAATTTTGGTGTTTATTCCTTCTATGTTTTTATTTAGGGTCAGGAGGTGTATTAAGAATGGAGAAAGTGCATTTTATAACAGTCTTTCAAACTTTTTAAAACTTTTTATTTAGGGACTAGTGCCCTGGTACATGAAATTCGTGCATTGCGGGGGGAGGGGTGCCCCTTAGCCTGTCCTACACCCTCTCCAATCTAGGATCCCTCTCACAATCCGGACTCACCTGCCTGCCTGCCTGATCATCCCTAACTGCTCCCCTCTTCTGGCCTGCTCACCCCCAACTGCACCCCTGCCAGCCTGATCACCCCCAACTGCACCCCCCCCTGCCATTACAGGATATGATCTTTAAAACTCACTTAAATTAACACGGAATTAAAAGAAAATTAAGAACATTAAAATTAAGGATAAGAATGTTTAGACATAATATTTACTCTGGGTTATTTTTTAGGAGAATTACTACAGCACCTAGATGGTACCCTGTAGTGTCCTTGGGAGGAATTTTGGTGTTTATTCCTTCTATGTTTTTATTTAGGGTCAGGAGGTGTATTAAGAATGGAGAAAGTGCATTTTATAACAGTCTTTAAAACTTTTTATTTAGGGACTAGTGCCCCGGTACATGAAATTCATGCATTGCGGGGGGGAGGGGTGCCCCTCAGACTGTCCTGCACCCTCTCCAATCTAGGATCTCTCTCACAATCCGGGACTCACCTGCCTGCCTGCCTGATTGTCCCTAACTGCTCCCCCCTTCTGGCCTGCTCACCCCCAACTGCACCCCTGCCAGCCTGATCACACCCAACTGCCCTCCCCTCCTGGCCTGATTGCCCCTAATCGCCTCTGCCTCGGCCCCGCCACCATGGCTTTGTCTGGAAGGATGTCCAGAAGGTCTCCCGATGTAATTAGCATATTACCCTTTTATTAGTATAGATTAGGAGATGCAGTATTTCCCTTAAAAACATATATAACATGACTATTTTGAGGAAGACACGTGAGTGTGTGGAACGTTGGGCATCAAACCATCTCTCACCTGAAGGTGCTTGGTAGTCCCTGTGGTCCTGGTGAGGGTGTTAGAGCCATGTTAGCGGGAGCTAACATTCTCAGGACAGAAATCCTAGAGCTTTGAGTAGTTATTCATAAATGACTGTTGTCCAATGTAAACTGACCAATTCGATGTGGTATTTTTGAATAACAGGGCCCAAACAAAAGTCAGTAACTCAGCAACTATTATATAATGATGATAGGGAAATAAAAGTTGGACGTTAAAACAGAGAATACAAAATGCAACACTTTAGTTTCCCAGTGTAGTAATCATCGAGGGACTGCCCACGTTTCTTTGGCATGTTGTACTTAGTTGTTATTTTGAAAACATCAGACTACTCTCCCCTCTTCCCTAATAATTGTGAACATGTTATAACAATATTCCTATGATGAATTCTTGAAAGCTTGACCTTTTCTTTCTTTTTGAGCCATCTTTTTTTAAAAAATATATATATATTTTTATTGATT